CCGCGGGCCCCCCCGGTGTCCCCCGCAGTGTCCCCCTTCGCAGGGTGTACGGCTGTGCGCCGCAGCGAGCCTTGCCGTCACCTGCGGCGTCACCCCCGGTGTCACCCGTGGCGTCACCCCCGGCGTCACCCGCAGCGTCACCCGCGGCGTCACCCACCGGATGTGGCGCTGCCGGATGAGCACCCGCGCGTGGTGGATGGACTTGGCCAGGCCCAGCTTGAAGACCTGGGTCTGCAGGCGCCGCTCCAGGAAGTCCTCGATCTTCAGCCCCAGGATGTAGTCGAGCTTCATCTTGCCCTCGTCCAGGACCCCGATGCGCACGAGACGTCGGAGCAGCGCGTTACCTGTGCGGGTGACACACGGGTGACATGTGGGTGACACGTGGGGACATGTATGTGACACCTGGGGACATGTAGGGACATGTATGTGACACGAGGGGGTGACACAACAGGGCATCCAGCTTCATCTTGCCCTCGTCCAGGACCCCGATGCGCACGAGACGTCGGAGCAGCGCGTTACCTGTGCGGGTGACACACGGGTGACATGTGGGTGACACGTGGGGACATGTATGTGACATGTGGGGACATGTACGGGTGACACAACAGGGCATCCAGCTCCATCTTGCCCTTGTCCAGGACCCCGATCCGCACCAGGCGCCGCAGCAGCGCGTTGCCTGTACGGGTGACACACGGGTGACATGTGGGTGACACGTGGGGACATGTATGTGACATGTGGGGACATGTACGGGTGACACAACAGGGCATCCAGCTCCATCTTGCCCTCGTCCAGCACGCCGATGCGCACAAGCAGCCACAGCAGCGCGTCACCTGTGCGGGTGACACACGGGTGACACAAGGGGTGACGCGCGGGTGACGCTCACCCTCGAACAGGCGCCGCGGGTCCTTCTCGTCCAGCGTGAGCAGCTCCCGCGCCGCCTTGCGGATCTTGGCCAGGGTGAACTTGACCCGCCAGACCTCGCGCTTGTTCCGGAGGCCATATTCGCCTGTAGGGACAGGGGGACGGTCACCATGGGGACACAGGGACATGGGGACAGTCACCATGGGGACACCCGCGAGACCTCGCGCTTGTTCCGCAGCCCATATTCGCCTGTAGGGACAGGGGGACAGTCACCATGGGGACACGGACATGGGGGCTTGTTCTGGAGCCCATATTCGCCTGTAGGGACAGGGGGACGGTCACCATGGGGACACAGGGACATGGGGACAGTCACCATGGGGACACCCGCGAGACCTCGCGCTTGTTCCGCAGCCCATATTCGCCTGTAGGGACAGGGGGACAGTCACCATGGGGACACGGACATGGGGACGGTCACCATGGGGACACGGGGACGGTCACCATGGGGTCATGGGGACAGTCACCACGGGGACACCCGCCAGACCCGGCGGTTGTTCCAGAGCCCACGTTCGCCTGTAGGGACACGGGGACCCAGCGCTCTGCTGCAGGGGACACTCGGAACACGGGGGGACCCCCA